GAAGAAAAACCGTAAAAAAATTGCCAAAAATCAACTAAAACTTTATTTTTCCAGAAATTTTTATTATTTAGATGAAATTTTGAAGAATTTTCATAATTTTGTGCACAAATTTTTAATTTGGATCTGTTCGGTTTTTATTAGAAGATGCACTATATTTAAAACAATAGACATTAAATAAAAAAAAAATTGCAAAAATTTTAAAAATGTCGCGTCCCTTTTTTTTTTCTCCACTATACATGTTGATATTTGAATTTGATCTCAATAACAAAGCCTTTTATTTTTATATATGTACGAGGATTTATAATATTTTTGTAATATTAATTCCTTTGGCATTCAAATAATTGAACCGTTTGAACCGAACCGCGGTTCAGAAATAAACCGGTTCTTGAGTCGGTACAAGCTTTTTCTGATTGGTTCGAACCACTGAACCGAATCGTCTCGTTTTTTGGAGTGGTTTGCAGCCTTGCTTCCAAGTTATTCTAAACTTTTTTTGCGACATTAAACAGAAGGCAGACTACGTCACAGTCAATTCAAATGAATTTTGACAATCAGTATGTGTGATCAACTTGGAAGCAAGTTCTTCATCATGATTCAATTATTCATCATGATTCAATTATTTATTATTGAATCATGGTTCTTCATTATGTTTTTCTTCAAAAACAAATTTGTGGTTGCCAGATACCTCACCGGATTTTTATAGGTTTCTCCAAACCGATTGAAACCTGATTCTGTGCTTGAGGAGCTTTTGGTCTCGTTCCTTTCCATGTTAAAATAACGGTTGCGGTTTGGTTTCATTCCTTGATGAAAACGCTCGCAAGTACACTACCTCCCAAGTATAGTGGAAGTATTATGGAGAACACAACTATTTTAATCACTATATCTCAGAAATGGTAATTATCTGGAACAAAGTGTAATAACAGTTTTTATGGATAATTACATGATCTACACTTTTTTCTTTCCTATTTTGATGATAAAACCGTTTGGCTGAAAATTGCATAAACGCGATTTATGTGACTATTGACCTTGAATACTTTTTTTTGCAGTTGCGGATTTGATGGAGACATTTTACATTTCTTTTATAAGAGTTCGCAACATTCGTACCAATTTTTCAGCTTTATGCTGATTATTGCATCCTTGAATGTAATAATATCGACCATAATAGTTGCGTTCCAGATGCTTCACGATATTCACGATTTGCATGAACAGCTGTTTTCTTCATTAATAAACCTTATGGATGGTGGTCACCTGGAACGACTTCCTGTAAAAACCTGCATATCGTATATCATCTGGAACGCAACTATTATGTGAACTGTTTGCGAGTGGTGTGGAAGTAATTTTTTTACCGTTATTTTTAAATTAATTTATGACAAATATTAATACTGTGGCCAAATGGTATGGTCGCGGTGGGTGTATGTACTAGGAAAATAAGATTTAATGGAATTTTATTTTTCAAATATTCAGGTTCCGGAATTCAAGCCACGATCTGGCGTAAAAATTGAGACCAACGAAAGTGCTGCCGCCGCTGCAGCCAACAATTACGACAGTTCAGACGTAGATCAAGACCGAGTAAACAAGATTTTAACTGAGCTACAGGCACTTAGGGAAAGTAAAACTCCACTTGTTGTCAAACCATTGGAATTCGAAAAAGACGACGATAATAATTTGCATATGGACTTTATAGTTGCTGCATCCAACCTGCGTGCCGCCAATTACAAGATTCCCCCAGCTGATCGTCACAAGTCTAAACTGATTGCTGGAAAAATTATTCCAGCTATTGCCACAACTACATCACTAGTGTCCGGCTTAGCTGTTCTAGAAGTCATGAAATTAATTTTAGGGTAATTAAACGTTAAGTGATTTCCATATTTGATTTTAAAACATATTTGCTTTCTTACTTTAGACATAAAGCTATGGATAAATTTAAAAATGCTTTTGCAAATTTGGCTTTGCCATTCATTGCATTCTCGGAGCCTATGCCTGCCGCGAAGAATTCATACTATGGCAAAGAATGGACGCTGTGGGATCGCTTTGAAGTTGCTGGAGAGCTAACACTGCAGGAATTTCTTGACTACTTCGATAAAAAGGAGAAGCTTCAGATTACAATGTTGTCGCAGGGCGTCTCAATGCTTTACTCGTTCTTCATGCCAAAAGCTAAATGCGCGGAGCGTTTGCCTCTGCCCATGACTGAAGTCGTGCGGCGTGTTTCAAGGAAACGTATTGATTCACACGAACGCTCTTTGGTATTTGAGATTTGCTGTAACGACGAAGATGGGGAAGATGTGGAAGTGCCGTATGTGCGATATACTCTACCCTAAAAACGGTTATTGGTGATACAACAAAAGTACTGAGCGAGCAAAAATCGCTGCCCTTTCATTGTAATACATATACATCTTTGGTTTATTATTAATTCAAATAATTAAATACGAATTAATTTTATAATTATAGGAAGGAGTTATTTTATGTGTCCCTCCATTATAATTTTAATACTTTTCCATTACGATATGGTTCAAAAATTAAAATAATTCAGCGAATGATATATTTACGAAAAAATATGTATGTATATGCACGGAAGACTTTGTATTAAATAAAAGAAAAATAAATATTTGTAGCAGTTCGACTGCGTTTTTCATCAGTAATGAATAAAAATTTTCTGTTTCAAGTACAACCATACATACATACCGCGAAGTTCCTTTATTAGTAAAATTATTTATAATAAGAAAGCAACTTTAGAGGCGAATGCTTTTGAGAACTCAAAATATTCGAGGGATGATGGGAGGTTTCGTCAGAGACGATTTTCGACGTACTCATTTAATGCCAATGCAACGAGAAAGAGTTATATTCAGACTCATAGTGATTGCCGTGTTGAGTGCAAGCCTTTTTTTGAGAGTCGAGTCGTATCGAAAGTTGCATTGCATTGCCTAACATTTTGACTCGACTAATGGATAGTTTTCGACGATTTTCGCCTTTTATTTATTTCGGCACGACAGTAGACAATGCCAATGTTGTCGAGTCGTTCAATTTAGTCTAATTGTCGACTTTCGCAATGAGGCTGATTAATATTTTGGGGGACGAGTGGCAGGGACTTGCTTTTCCACAAAACGCCAGGTTGTTCCTCTTAAGAATGTTGCAGATTTTTTAATTGCTAACATTATGTCCAATGGTTACACGATCGTGTATCCAAAGGTGTTATATGGTTGTATGAATATGCATATTCCCCCCAAATATTTGGTGTCATTAAGGAGCCTTTACTCTCGCTCAGTTAAGAGTCAGAAGAGTCCCTTCCTCTGAAGGTCGACTTATATGAGCTTAAATTCGTAAATCAAATGAGAAATAATATGAGTCATATTGGACTCATATTAGCCTCATATACGGCTCAGTTTGGACTCTTTTTTAAGACAGTTTTTGGCCTTATATATATGAATTATTTGAGCCTCTTTTAGAGACTCTTATATTGCTCTAATTGGCCTCATAACTGACGCCTTTCGGACTCCATTTTCAGGATCTCCTTTGAGTCTTATTGAGCCCATGTTAGAGCGGTATTTGCAAAAGCATTTAACAAAAATTTCTTTCGACTACGTTTTTCATCTATTGTCCTTATGTGCAATTATCAGGGACATAACTTATAGAAAAATTATAAAAAGGTCTTATTTAGCCATTAGTAGGAACAAACGAATGTTTATAAACAATAACATAGAAACCGATTTGGTTTTTTTAACTCTAGCTTCAAAATTGTTTTTTCCCTGGGATACAAAAAGTGCAAACCAAAGGCTGGTCTCTACGAGGAGACATTGGTGTTATTGAAGAGAACCAAAATAATTTATCTTAAATGGATAATAAGGAATATCTAAAAATATTAAATTCAGTATGAAAAAAAAAATAGCCTGGTCAGTTTTATTGAAAAGTCCTTCAGCAGCACGAATTATTGTCTTGTAGCCTTTCTAAACATTGACGGAGCTTGTAACAATATAAATTCAGCGGCCATAATACTAGAGGTGGACAGTTTATAAGCCAAATGCTCTTCTGCAAGGCGATCACGGAAAACGTGGGTGAGAACTTGGCTTCAAGATATGTGACAAGGGGCACACCGCAAGGTGGCGTGCTCTCGCCACACCGTTGGAACTTAACCGTGAATTCTCTATTGCAAGAGTCGAAACTGGGAAGCGCCAAGGTTGTGTATGCGGATGTCGAAGCTATCGCATATAGCTGTGCAAATTGATGCAGAGGGCACTTCGCGATGTATCAAGGTGGTCGAAGCGCTGTGGCGTCTGCGTCAATTCGGAGAACTCCGCCTGAATAAAGCAAAATTCTTGAGGGATTTCCTCGACAGAAAACTGAGCTGGAAGTAGAACATAGTCCAGCGTTATGGGAAGGCGTCTGTGGCCTTATATTCGGGCAAGAGGGCCATTTGTAAGAAATGGTGGTTGAGCCCGAGTATGTGCCGCGGGATTCTCCTTTATGGGATTATAGTATGTTGGCCGGCCTTCACCAAGGGAACCCTACTCACGAATATTTCCTCCCATTTCGGAGCATTCCCAAGCATTGCCCATTCAAATATCTTAAATTGCTTTAACGGCTGAGCCCACGAATTTATATATGTGTAGTGATCACCATAACACTTGTACTTGCCACACTATGTGGCAACACTGAAAAGCAGACAACGATTGACAAAACGCAACCAACTTCGTTTTATTAAAATTGATTTTTAACCGACGCCGAAGTTTTAGTTACGCATTCGAAAAATACTACGCATTGACAACGTAATACTTTTTATAAAGGAATATTATTTTAAGTTTGTATTCATTGAATTGAATAAAGAATTATGGAGCCATTGCACTTCCCTAAGTGGTGACCCCGACGAACGTGAAATACTCTGGCTATAATTTGTCAACCTGTGGAGGACATCATGCCAAACGACAACGAGGAAACATTTAAAGACGCAGTTGCTCCATTTCAAGTGGCACGACTGGCAGTTAAGCCGCCACCGTTTTGGAGGCCAGACCCGCGCCTCTGGTTTGCGCAGGTGGAGGCTCAATTCGCACGAGCTGGAATTTACACAGACGAAACTAACTATTTGACAGTTGTTGCGGAGATTGATTCAGAAGTATTGGCACGCGCTACAGACATTATTTCATCCCCACCTGCCACCGGCAAATATGAGGCGTTGAAATAAAGGCTTATTGCAGAATTTGGTGAGACCAGTGAGAAAAGGCTCAGGCGGTTATTCGCAGGTTGCGAGTTAGGCCAGAAGAAACCATCAACGTTATTGCACGAGATGAAAGATCTAGCGAATCAACAGCTGGGTAAAGAAATGTAGAGTTTTTATGGTTACGTCGCTTACCCGTTCAAGTGCAGCAAATTTTAGTAACGCTCGAAGGCGATGTGGAGGATTTGGCTAAGAAAGCTGATGCCATAATGACGATTCCGGCAACGAACATCAGCGTTGACACCGTGAGTACACCAAGCGACGATTTAACCGCAAGTATTTCGGAATTGATAAACCGGCTGGACAGGCTTGAGCGGGGGATATCTTAGGTAAGCAGCAGCGTGGGGGAGCACCTCCGCGACGTTCACAACCAGGCAGTACACGTAGCGAGACAGCACGAGCTTCACACAATGTTTTCTGCTGGTATCATCGCACCTTTGAAGAGAACGCAACGCGATGTCGATCGTCATGTGCTTTCCGGCAAAATGGCTCGGAAAACTAGTCAGCCCTCCATTCAAAGCGGCTGCTTCGGAGGACGACATGAGTTCTAGCCGCCTTTACGATCGGGACAGAACGTCAATAACTAAAACTTCGATACCGGTGCCGAGTTTTCGGTTGCGCCCAAGCGTCCCGGGAGCGGGAGAGTATGCAACCCGCCGTCATGAAACTGGTTGCTGCAAACAACACTGCAATTAATACTTTTGGTAGAAGACGTATCTCTTTGGATTTAGGCCTTGGTCGGACATTCAACTCCGTCGTAGCGCATCCTATAATAGGTGCGGATTTTTTAAAGCACTATGACGTTTTAGTAGACTTAAGAAATAAAGTAATCATAGACCGAGCAACGAGCATGCGAGCACGTATGCCAAATCATTAAGCCACCGCAAAGCATAATTTCTTTGAGAGGAGGTAATCCATTTCATACAATCTTAGCGCGCTACTCCGACCTAACCAACGATGGACCTAGGGCAGGTAAGACTGACGGCCATTCAACATCATATTGAGACACGAGGGGCACCTGTGGTCCAGAAGGTACGCCGCCTATCACCTCAAAAGTTGGAGCTCACGAAAAAAGCATTCGACTACCTGCTTGATCGGGGTATATGTCAGCGCTCAAGTAGCCAATGGGCGCGTCCGTTGCATATGGTGCAGAAATCCAACGGAACTTAGAGGTCTTGCGGCGACTATAGGCGATTGAATGCCAAGACAATTCCCGATATCTACCCGATACGGCATATCCAGGATTTTGGAGGAGACTTGTATGGTAAGATGATTTTTTCCATAATAGATTACAAGAAGGCATACCATCAGATCCCAGTGCACCCAGCAAAGGTGCCGAAGATAGCTATTCTGACACCGTTCGGACTCTTCGAGTTTAAATATATGACATTCGGGCTTAGGAACGCTGCCCAAACGTTCCAACGCTACATAGATGAAACCATCAAGGGTTTACCTTTCGTTTTCCCTTATCTTGATGATGTGCTCGTCGCCTCCACGTCGCAGGAGGAGCACGCAGAGCATCTCGAAAAAGTTTTTGACCGCTATCGCGAGAGGGGTTTGGCCATTAACGACGAAAAGTGTCAGCTCGGACTAGAGGAAGTAGAGTTCTCGTCTCGGCTAAAGGCATCAAGCCGCTGCCGCAGAAGGTGAGGGGCATACTGGAGTTCAATAAACCGAAGGTAGTCCACGACTTGAGAAGATTTTTGGGGGCTATTAACTGCTATAGACGGTTTTTACCACATGCTGCTGCCATCGAGGCACCATGGCAAAGGCTGATGGACCCATGCAAGAAACGTGACAGAACAGCAACGAAGAGCAATAAATTGGACAAGAGAGGCGACAGAGGCGTTCGAAACACTTAAGAAGCAGTTGGCGGAAGCAGCTCTTCTGGCTTTTCCAATAAGAGATGCCACAATCCCCTTGATGACTGATGCCTCAGACATCACAGTCGGTGGAGTTCTTTAACAGCTGTTCGATGGTAAGTGGATGCCGCAGGGTTTCTGTTCGCAAAAGTTTACTCCAACCGAACAGCGTTATAGTGCCTATGATCGCGAATTGTCAGCAATGTATAAAGCCATTCGACACTTCCGTTACCATTTGGAGGGTACAGTTTTCACTATTTTCACCGACCACAAACCGCTTACGCATACTTTTGAACAGAAATGGCGGAAACTTTCACCATGGCAAACACGCCAGCTAAACTTCATCAGCCAATTTTCCTCCGAAATACGGCATATCAGCTGATAATCTTGTAGTTGATATGCTCTCAAGAATTGCGTTACCATCACCAGTAGATCTACAGCAGTTGCA